TGGTATGCCAAGGTGCCATATTTTGGGGTATTGTGTTCTGAGCCCCGACACTCTCCTCCTACCTTTCTGACCATTTCATCTTTTTTCCTTGGTGGACTTCTCTCCCAGGCCTCTGGCCTTGTTCAGGGTGGGACAGTGCCAGGGCGGGTGGAAGGAGGTCTCCAGGGGGTCTGGGGTGATGGGGGGCGCTGAGAGTCCTGGTTGCCCTGAGGTTACTGAAGGAGAGTGAGGGGCAGGATTGGAGGGCCAAGTGCATTTGTTAGGTTGATCTACATGATGCTGCTGATAGTTGACTAATTTTGACCAATAAAACTAGTAATTTCATCTGGTTCAAACTAAAACTTCAGAAATTGCTTCAGTAGGGCCAATGTCCAGCTATACTGAAAACCAGGATCCTGGAAGCTTAGGGAGCATCTATGGAAATAACTAGGATCAAAGCAAAACAGGCTCCTTTGCACACCTAGCTGCAGTACAGTCACAGCAAGAGGCACTTGCCGCACCTGGGAGGTGAGGTAGTCTTGCGGAATCTTGGATGGCCAAGAGGAGGCCCTTTTCCTGCTGCAAGGTCTGCAGCCGGCTCGCGTCCCCTCTCGCTACTGCAGGAGGACAGAGAAGCATAGTGGATTGCAACACCGCTGAGACTGGGCGCATTTTTCAGAGTGGGCCCTGAACTTCCATGGTTTTGTGGATCTGCATGGCAAGCTGTAAAGCAGACCGGCAGTTTTAGAAATAGAATTTGAGCCTCTGAGCCTCAGTTTCTTCATCTGTAGATGGGGATGATAATGACCTCTTAGGACTGTGTATGCATCTGCTTGTGCTGCTATAACAAGATCCACTGGGTAGCTTACACGATAGCTCTGGAGGCTGGAAGTTGAAGACCAAGGTGCTGACAGGGCTGGTTTCTGCTGAGGCCTCTCTTCCTGGCTTGCAGAAGATGGGTGCCCTGCTGTGTCCTCACGTGGCCTCTTCGTACACACGTGGAGAAAGAGATCTGTGGTGTTTCTTCCCCTTCTTGTATGGACACCAGTGCCATCAGATTAGGGCACCGCACTCACCACCTCACTTAACCTTCATTACCTCCTCATGGGCCCTGTCTCCAAATAGTCAGGTTAGGGGTTAGGACTTCAACACATAAGTTTGCGCCAGGTGGGAGGAATTAAGTTCAGAACAAACTATCTTAAGGATGGCGGGACACAGATTGTGCTCTGAGAGTGGCTCTTTTGATGTGGGCCACGAAGGAGGTCAAGCAGGTCTTGGCAAACCAGGCTCACAAGAAAGATCTGAGCAGCCCAAGACAGAGAAGCAGCCCAGGTCCTTGGAGAAGGACTGACATTGACACCAGAGCCCTGCTCGATAGCATCAGTGTTTTGCTGCACCTCGATTTATGCTTAAACTGTTTAAATAACTACCTTTGTTTTCCTTTCTCTATGCCTCCTTCCCCATGCTTCCTACATGCAGTCAGCCGCCAGATTGCCTTGTCTGCCTTCCCCATGGTCTGATTTGTTCAGGCTTCCGTCCTGGACAGCTTGGCATGCATAGCTCCCTGTCTAGCCTTCTGCCTTCAGCCAGTGCAATCTGCTCTCACCGCAGCCGGGCTGATGGTGTGAAACATAGACTAAATTCTATCACTTCCATACTGGAAATGTTTCACTGACTTCCTGTGATTTTTAAAAATCAACCCAAACTTGATAACAGGCTCACAGGGGCTGCACAGTCCCCTCTGGCTTCTGCATGGCTCTCTGGTATGGCTACCTGCCAGCCCCACCTTTTTCATCCTCTGACTCATCCTGCCTGTTCTGGTCTGCTCCCCGTACCCTGTGCCAAGCTCACTTTTCAGATTTCAGGTTCCAAGTCATACAATATGGAAAGCCTTTTTTTGGAGGCTGGGTGGGGTCTAACCAATGTGCCTGCAGGGCATCCCATTACTCTTGTCTTGACAGTTACCGCAACACACTGATGTCACCCATAGACTTCTCTGTCTCCCCATTTAGCCTGTAAGCTCTGGGAGGTGGCTGGCCATGCTTGTAGTCTTGTTTGTTGTAGCCCCAACACCCAGCACAACTGGCACACAGCAGATGCTCAATAAATATTGTTGGAATTAATTATCTTTTAAAATTGTTTTTAATATTTGCACACCCATGTTCACAGAAGCATTATTTACAATAGTCAAAAGGTGGAAACAACCCAAATGTCCACTGATGGATGAATGGGTAAACAAAATGTGGTCTACATATACAATGGAATATCATTCAACCTTAAAAAGGAATGGAATTCTGGCACATGCTACCACACAGATGAACCTTGAAGACATTATGCAAAGTGAAATAAGCTAGACACAAAAGGACAAATACCTGTGATTCTTCTCACTGGAGGTCCCTGGTCAAACTCAGAGAATAGAATAATGTTGCCAGGGGATAGGGGAGGAGGGATGGAGAGTTAGTGCTCAGTGAGTACAGAGTTTCAGTTGGGGAAGAGGAGAATGTTCTGGAGATGGATGGTGGTGATGGCTGCACAACAGTGTGAATGGTTTTAGTATCATAGAACTGTACACTTAAAATGGGTAAGAGGGCAAATTTCATGTTATGTATGTTTACAACAATAAAAATAACTACACTAAAAATAATTTTTATGAACTTCCCGTGTAAAAAATAAAACCTCCAGGTAATACTGCAAAGAGAGAGAAATGGATCATGGCCCTGTGGGGTGCCGTGGTCAAGGTTCGGGAGCCCTGGTGGGCAGACCAGGTACAGTCCCCGGCAGCCAGGCTCACTGCCTCTGGCCGTGCCTCAGGTCACCCTCGCACCTGCTCCAGACTCCGCTGCTCATTTTGGTGTTCATTTTAATGGAGGTATTTAAAAGGCGCACTCAGGCCTTATGAAACACTGTACTCGGGCTACTCACTAGGCTGCCTGCTAAGCAAGAGTGCCTTCAAATGGGCGACTCTGCAACTTCAGGAAGGAAGTGTCAGCAACGTCCCCAGTGGCAGACTGGTACCAGATGCCCAGAACTGCACCTCCCGCCTTGCACAAGTTTGCACAAGGCTTGTCTCTCCTCCCATCAAGAGGTGGGGTCTCTCTCCTACCCCGTCAAGTCTGAGATGGCAGAAATGGCAGAAATGGCCCTGTGTGGCTTCTGAGGCAGTGCTGTCACTGCTTCTGTGCTCTGGGGAGGGCCAGCTGCGTGCAGTCAGGAAGCTCAGGCGGAAAGGCCGGGCTCTGTGGGGGCACACTGGCGGGAGGGCTGCGTCCGGAGCCCTGCTCAGCCCAGCTGCCATCCACGCGGCTTCCCGAGACACCACTCTGACAGCCTGTGCAGCAGAGCAGGGCGACCAGGCACTGGAAATGGCAAATCATGGCTGTTCTAAGTCACTAGGTTTTGAAAAGGCTTAATTCACAACAATAGAGTACCAAGACCACATCTAACAAATCTAATACGGAGAACACAGAATTGTATCACTGAGAGCTCTGGCGCTCCTTCCCGGTTTGTATTCGCTGTAATACTATCAAAATATATTAAAAAGAAAGAAACCCACCTACACCTCCATCATCTGAATGCTTCATCTATTTTCATTTCAGTCACTAACATTTCTAGAATGTTACGGTAGGCATGCATGGCCAGGCGACGTTGTGTTTATCAAGCACATAACATCTTGTAGCTTTCCCTTCCTAGCTTCGCACTGGTCCACACACTCAGCAGGCAGTCATTGGTGCCTACTTTATGCCAGTTGCCGAGGATTCAGAGCTAAGTGACTACATATTATTTTTTCACAATTTTGACCAACATTTACATAATCATTCCTTTGAAATGGCCTTTTGAGTTAAACACAAATTGAGCCAGGTGTTTCTCTTGTCTATTTAGAAATTTTAACTTCAAAGAATTTATGGCAGCTTATAATATGATCTACCTATAATTTTAAACCATGAAATTAAAATTAAAACTATCAGGAAAGGAAAATAGATATACCATGAATGTGGCTAATAGAATCGTAGGTCTGAGGTTTCAGGCAAGGCAAAGCACACAGTCTCACAGCGAGTCGGCCACTCCGCTACCGGGACGGAGGTTCGCTCTCACCAGCGAGCGGCCAGGGGGGGTGGGGGCAGGGAGGCGACGGCAGCAGCGGTGCAGGCCGGGCGCCGCGTGGGGAGGCCGGAGGGGGGCGCCGCGTGGGGAGGCGGGGGGGGGCGCCGCGTGGGGAGGCCTGCGCGCCGGCCGCTGGTTGGACCCGACGGGGAGATTCCTGGGCTGCAAACACCGAGGATTCAGGGAGCGGCCGGCTGTCGCGCAGGGTCCCCGGCTGCCGGGGAGGGGTCTGCGAGTCTCCTCGGAGAGTGGCCGTGCTTTGCGCCATTGAGACGGGGAAGAAGATGGAAACGGTTTGTGGATCTGTTAGGAAAACAGGCCGTTTCCGGCCGGCGGTTTCTGTGATTTTTTTCCTTTTGTTTGTTTTGGTTTTTGCTTTTTCAACTTCAAGTGCACGACGAGACGCGAGTGCGGGAGAGGGGCCGGCGACCCTGGTCGGGCTACCAACCGTCGGGCCCAGGCCGCCGGGGCGTGCGCGTCCAGCAGCCGACGCCAGGAGGCGCCCCCGAGCCGTCCGCGCAGACCCCGCCTCTCCGCCGCGGCCGCCCGCGGAGTCCCGGCGCCGCTGTCTGGAGTGGTGACTCGTGGAGCCCGCAGAGACGGGCAGGGGGCGTGGCCAATGGGCGCGGCTGGGCGGGCCGCGCCGGGCGGTTGGCGGGCAGGCGGCTCCGCGGGCCGGGCCGGGCGCAGGTGGGAGGGGCGCCGGGCTTCCGAGCGAGGCCGCGGGCCGGGCGGCCGCGCCGGGTCCCAGGGCAGCCGGGCGTGCGGCGCGAGCCCCGCTAGATTCTTCGCTCGGCACGGCCGTGGGCCTTGGACTCTAGTTGGAGCTCACTGGGGCTCGCCACGACACTGCCGTGGAAGGAAGGAGGGCAACGGTCCGCGGGCCGGCCGGCACCCGCTTGCCCTTCCGCGGGCGCGGGCCGGAGCGGGCGGCGGGCCGGCGAGGCCGCCCCGCTCCTCCCGCCCCGGCGGGCGCTGCCGGCTCTCCTCCTGGCCCTCCGCTACTGGGCCGCACGCCTGTACGCGTTACTCAGCCGTGCTGAACCAACTGCTGTGAGACAAGGGCGCCCTTACTGTGTCACGGGCGCGCCGCAGCCGGCAGCAGTAAGTGCGCAGCGAGCCCGCCGGGTCTCCGCGGTCTCGTCCCGCCGGCCCACCCTCCCCGCGGGCGGACAGCCCGGCCACGCCCGCCAGGCCGGAGCCGCCCATTCCCTTGTGTGGTCTGCTCGGATGTGGTCTGATGCGTGGGGGATAATTTTAAAATGTCACCGAGTCTTTTAAAGAGAGTCTTTCACACTAGCTGTGATAATTTTTTCAGTAAAAACATTGTTAAAATAAAAACACAACCAGAAAATAACAAGTGTTGGTGAGGATGTGGAGAAACCGGAACCCTTATGCATTGCTGGCAGGAATGTACAATGGTGCAGTTGCTGTGGAAAATGGTATGGTGATTCCTCAAAAAATTAAACATAGAAGGCCGGGCGCGGTGGCTCACGCCTGTAATCCTAGCACTCTGGGAGGCCGAGGCGGGCGGATTGCTCAAGGTCAGGAGTTCGAAACCAGCCTGAGCAACAGCGAGACCCCGTCTCCACTATAAATAGAAAGAAATTAATTGGCCAACTAAAAATGTAGAGAAAAAAATGAGGCGGGCATGATGGTGCATGTCTGTAGCCCCAACTTCTGGGGAGGCTGAGGCAGGAGGATCGCTTGAGCCCAGGAGTTTGAGGTTGCTGTGAGCTAGGCTGACGCCACAGCACTCTAGCCCAGGAAACAGAGTGAGACTCTGTCAAAATAAAATAAACATAGACTTACCATATTACCCAGCAATTCCACCTCTGGTCATTTATCAAAAATAAGCAAAAGCAGGGACTAGAACAGATACTTGTACATAGCTTTATTCACAATGGCCAAAAGGTGGAAACAACCCAAGTGGCCATTGACAGATGAATGGATAAATAGATTGTGATATATACATATAATAGAGCTTTTAAATTTTAAATTTTAAATTTTAATTCAGCTTTTAAAAGTAAGGAAATTCTAACACATGCTACAACATGCATTATGCTGAGTAAAATAAGCTAGTCACAAAAGGACAAATATTATACAATTTCACTTATATGAAGCACTTAGAGGAGTCAGATTTGACTACCAGAAAGTAGAACAGTGGCTGCCAAGGGCTGGAGGAGGGGGAATGGGGAGTTAGTATTTAATGGGGACAGAGTTTCAGTTTGGTAAGTCTCGAGATGGATGGTGTAATGGTTGCACAACAATGTGAATATGCTTAATGCCACAGAACTGTACCCTTAAAAATGGTTAAAATGGTAAATTTTATGCATATTTTACCACACTAAAAAACCTAAACGCTTATTAAGTAATGTAAACCTCAAGTCAAATGACTGGTCACTCTTACATGTAAGAACTTACATAAAGGAAGACAAACATTGGCAGTTACAAATTAAGCTAATAAAAAGATTTGAAATGTTTTACCCTTCTGTAGAGATATTTTTATTTAAACCTCCAGGACAAGGCTTACCATGTATAGACAGTCAATTAATGGTCAATGTTGTTATTATTATAAATAAAGTGTGGTGATAGGTACACTCTGAAGAGTTGTAGATAGAAGCCAGTGTGCTTAGGAAATTTTTGGGCAAAAGTGCAAAGTATAGAGATTTCCATAGAGCTTCTAGAACAGTCAGACACAAGAAGAATTGCTGAATTCTGGTATTTGTTCCTTCTGTCTTTTATGCACTTACCAAGTTTAATTAGGTTCTTGTTAGATGTGATGCTCTCTGCTGGATGAGATGGGCTTTGTCCACATGAGTAGGTCTAACCCCCAACCTCTAGGAGAAGAGATCCGCACGTGTAATTATCACACAGTTGGGCTGTGGTGTCCCGAGGAGGATGGCCTTATCTCGGGCCAAAACGCAGAATGGCACCATGTTGTGAGCATGCAAACACGGTTGCTTGGGTTAGTTGTAAAGGTATGAAACAGAGCTGGTGGTGGATCTAAAACCCGAGCAGGCTTCTTGGATGTGCTTACAGTTCTTGGCAACTGCTCTCACTTTGTGACCCCGAATTCTCTTTGCTTTCCTCTCCCTCCTTAGGTGCTGTCAGAGTTCTCCTGGTCTCAAGTGCTGGCCCCTGAAAGTCTGAGGAGATGGCTGCAGCAGCAGTGGCTGGACTGATCCCTGTGCTGCACTCTGTGGCTGGTGACAAGTCTGGCTACTACATTGGGCGGCAGCTATGGTTTGGCTTAATTGCCCTGTACGGGGTGGTGGTGTACGTGGTCCGCATGCCCTGGGCACACATCCATGAAGATTTCTGGTGCCATGGCAACATCACGTATCCGTGCTTGATTGAGTGTTTTGAAAAAAACTTTAGCAACCCCGTCATGGGAATTTGGTACTTCTTCTTCTTCATCTTCGCCACTCTCTTCTTCCTCATGGAATTCTTCATGGCTCAGATTCGGCACAAGCAGGTCAAGATGAAGTCGATGGACTTGGTGGTAGGTGCAGCAGAGGAGGGCTCCATGACGGGGATCCAGGAGCACATCCTCTCTTCCAAGGAGAAGTCCATCCTGAACTTCCACCAGGAGAAGATGCTTCTGCTTTTGTACCTCCTGTACTTCCTCCTGCAGGTTGGTACCCAGTGTGTGTTTTTATTCCTTCTCATGTTTCAGCACCTGCCCTTGGTGACACAAGCTGTCATTCACTGCAGCACCTATGACTGCCCCGGCCCCTACCTCTGCCTGATCCGGGCGACCATGGAGAAGCGGATGTCCATCTACACCCTCATCACCCTGTCCTTCCTCATCATCGTCTTCTGCACAGGCTTCTTCATGTACAGCATTCACCATTACCTGTTGAAGGGCATTTCCAGCTTTAAGTTTTGGATGAATTGACATTTGGGAGGAAAAGCACCCTTCTTACTTAAAGACTTTCCCACTTGAACTATGTTGTTTATGTTTCTCTAAATATTGTGTCTGGGGAAGGGCCTCCTCCTGCTAACCTTCTTTGATTTTTCTCCTTTAAAAAATAAATGTTTGCTGTTCTTGTTTTCTTTCTTTATAGCCAGGCTCAGGTTGTCTTATTGCGGGTAGGTGGTATGCAGTAGGTGACATTGCAGAGCTCTTTCCCGCAGGCTGTCTAATTTCATCCTCACCAGAAGGCTGTGACACTGAGTTTGTTTCTTTATCCTTCCAGGATCTTCCATTCAGGAAGAGTTTCCATACTCTTAGAACTAAGAGCTTTAAATTGATTTCTCCAGTATGGTTTCTGTTAAAATACAGAGAAGACAATTCTTCTCCAAAGGAAAATTCTAGAGTGGACTTGCAGGGTAGGTTCACCTGGTTCTGCCCCTGTGGGTTCCCCAAACTCCTAGGTCTGGGTTCAGTCTTGACACCTCGCTGGAGGCCCCAGTGAAGACTAAATAAACATGATGAATCTCACTGGGGAGAGGATGGGTGGGAATGAGGTTCAGTGGAAGCAATCCACTGGGTTTCAACTGCATGAAGAATCGTGCCTTGCTCCCAGACCCAACCTGTCTGCCCAGATGGCTGCAGCCCAGCTCAGGTCTACGCGGAGGTTATGAACTACTCTCTGCAACTCCCTGCTGAGTCCTCTTGTTTGCAAGCACAAGGGAGCTTTACCAGACATGACTAAAGCTCCTCACATTTGTAGAGGGGCAAAGATGGGGGTGAGAATAAGGAAATTGCAAAGAAAGTATGGTCAGTCACCTCATCCTGTGCTAGGCACATCATCCCCCAGAGTAGTTCCAGGGACCATCCTGTGCCCAAGGCTTGGGCTCCCTCCAGGGCCCCAGGGTGAGATATGGAGTAGAGGGCACCCAGGAGCCCAGCCTTGCTGGGTATGCTCTGTGTTGTCCAAGTGAGCATGATGTCCCCAGATCACCTGTTGAATGTAGTTAAGATTTTCTTCTAGTATAGTCTTGGTCCTGAGGCCAACCGTGGCCTATAGACCCTGAGATGGCACCCACTCATTTTCTGCCTCCTGTTGTCCAGGCCTTTGTGCAGTCCCCTCCTCCTGAGTGCAGGTGGGGACTGTGACTTGCTGCTAACCGTAGGATAAGGCAAAGGATGCCACTCCTGTGATCCCAGCATGTTACATGGAAGGCCATGTTAGTAGCCTAGAGGGAAAGACTCTCCTTTGCTGGCTTTAAGGAAGGAAGTTGCCACGTTATGAGAAGGATGATGGAGGGAGACACGGCGAGGAATTACAGGCAGCCTCTTAGAGCTGAGAGTGGCCCAGCTAACAACCAGTAGCAAAATGGGGACCTTGGTCATAGAACTGCACAGGAATTGACTTTTGCCAACAACTTTAATGAACTTTGAAGTGGAGTGTTCCCCAGTCAAGGCTCCAGATGAGAATAGCATATACCTTCATCATAGCTTTGCGAGACCATGGGCAAAGGACCCACATGTGGTTTCCTGAACCACAGAAACTGTGAGATTATATATGTGTATTGTTTTGAGCTGCTAAGTGTGTCGAAATTTGTTACACACATTAGAAAACTAACACTGACTCTAGGGCCCCCCACAGTGGTACAAGAGCCAAGGGAAGCTGAATGGTCTCAGCATTAGGCATCTATGGAGACCTGCTTTTCTTCCATCCTAGAAACAATTATCCTTTGCCTTCTTGCAGCAGCTGACCCAGCTACACTGCAAGAAGCCTGAGAAAGTCTTAGCAGAGAGTGCCCAATACTGAGACCACTGCTACTACAGCTTGTGCCCCTGCACCCTAGATAAGAAAGCTGCCGCACAGGCTGGCCCTGGAAAAATGCTCGCTGTCCTGAAGAGATCCATCCTCTTCTGCATTTGGGCTCAGCTAGGTGGGACCTGGGATCCCAGCACCATCAGTTGCACATACAATTACAAGTAAGTGACCCATTGGACTCCCACACCCCCAGCAGGCACAAGGCTCAGCCATTGGAACTGCCTGATGCCATCTTCAGTGCTCATCCTAGGCTGGGCATCTGTGTGCACCAAGCAGCATGCACAGCTGTGTGCAGGGCCCTGGGAAGCCCTCTTCTAAAACTCAGTGGGGTTTGTGAGAAGGCCAGCACTCTGTGGGTGAGGCTGTACCCAATGCATGTGTGCAGTTATGTAGAAGAGCAATTGCCTCAGATCTGTGGGGCATTTTAGGGGTGAATCACAGCCAAGTGTTGGCTGTATACCCAGTGCCTAGAAACAGTTTTTGGAACCTAGTAGGGGTTCAATAAATAGTTTGGGCATGTGGAGCATAACCACATGCTCTCAGAGAACCTTGATGCTGTTTCTAGGGCTTGTAGGTGGTGGTAATACTGTTCTCAGGCAGATTCATTGAGAGTCCCAACTCGGTCTGGTTTATATCTCAGGTAAACCTCCATGCCCACTCTCGCTAGGCTTGTCCTGGTTGTAGACAGTGGTTCCCAATGGTTGGATCTGTGCCATCTTGTTTCAAAGGAGAGGTGGAACGGCAGTTTGGACAGAAACAGCCATCAGTCGGCAGCTACATTTCAGTATGTACTTGTCCCAGTGAAGATCGTTCCAGGCAGAGGGAACAGCAAGGCCCTGACCCAAGGTGATGGGATTGGTCAGGGCTCAGTCAGGGACAGAAGCCACACCAGTAATTTGAGCAGGGAGAATTTAATACAAAGACTCATTAACTAGTAAAAGGTGGTTAACTACTTAAAGAGGCAAAAAGAGAACTCCAAGGCATCCAGAAGTGGCAACTGCAGAAAGCAGCTTCTACCTCTAGGTCTGAGGGAGAGGGAACAAGGAGGATGTAAGAATGGCATGTCTGGCACGGGAACGGGTAGCCTGCCTATGAAGAATCTTGCCAGCAGAACTAATCAACAGCAGCAGAGCAACTTGCCAGAGGGTGCAGGCAGAAGCCAGTCCATGAGGGCTACTTAGGTGAATGCTACCAAGCCTCCAGCACACCAAAGAACTAGCTGCTGCACCACAAAATAGCACTCTGGGAGGAATCCCCTTTCTGTTATTGCTGCTCAGCGTCCTTCGTATGTTATCTATTGACAAAGTCTAACATCCAACATCTGGCGAAGGAGAAATGTTTACAAGCTCTGGCTCTAGCGTCACAAAGCAGGGCAAGAAAGGGTGGATTTGGAGCTAAGAGGCAATACATTGATAACTGGCACAGTCTACCCTTTTGGCTACTCAGCTTCCACATATATCCTTCTACACACATTTGAACTTCCAAACAATAATGAAACAACTCAAAGTTCCCATCTAACAAGCTGCAGCTGCCCTTTGTACGAGTGAAGAAGTTCTCATACTCCCCAACCCGGAGACAAACAGTCCCCAAAGACATCATATCCATTGCTGGGTATATTCAGTACTTCCAAGTTTAGTCGAAGTCCTACTGAAAATTTTGTTAGCTAACAACTGAATTGTAAATTTAACCTTTAATAACTTGTATATAAAATAATAAGGGAAAGAAGAACATAGAAGAAAAGTTACTATCTACAAATAAACACACAAAAAGAAAATATGCAAACCTACTATAATTCTTTTTTTTAATTTTTGCCTCTTGACATGAATGTTTGAGCTAATATAATTCTTGCAATTAGTTACAAGGTCATAGTTAGTATCTGTGTCTCCCTTCTGTACTCCCCACTCAATTTTTTCTTTGTCTTCAGCCATGAACTTGGTTCCATCACCTAAACCATCATTTCTGAAGGGTCTGAATCCTCAAGAGTCTAGACCTTTACTTTTGTTCATTTGCTGTAGCTTTCCACTAACCTTCACTATTGGGCATGCTGTATGCTGGGCTCCAGAGAGAGTTCTCCTCGTTCCCGGTTGTGAACACTGGCAATTGTGATCGGTCACTCTGGCAGTAGGGTAACCTTTCTTCTGCATATTGGTTCAGGGGCATAAGGGCCCCCAAATTGCCAAGTGGCAATCATCTTCCAAATCAATGGAATCATTGTTATATCCTTTAATTTCCACTTGGGAACTAAGACCGCCAAACCGGAAGAGCTCAAGGTTGCTGAGTGAGAAGGAAAAACTGCTGCCAGTGTTTTAGTAGGTATGATAGTGGGAGGAGCCTTTCACCTTCGCCCTTTGATTCCCAGGCGTGTACATTTTAGCTGTGGGATGCAGCATCACGGGGTGGTCTCTGATTCAAAGCATATACTGCAGACTGTAAGACAGACTCCATCCCCTCTCCTTTTAGGGTTTGCAATTCTCGTAATCGACACCATAGCTGAGTTTTCAGTGAGCCAGCCCACCTTTCCATTCATTCAGCTGCTTCTGGGCGGGGGAGCATTGTGGTAAGATCCCATAGGCATGGGCCTGTTGCCATCCTTTACTGTAAAACGTAGATGCATCAGACCCAATTCTGTGAGGAGTGTGTGACAGCCCTGAGACACTCCGTGAGTCCATAGACGGGGTGCTGGCAGAGGCATTTCAGGCAAGAAAGGCAAATCCACGCCCAGCATGGGTGTCTGCTCTAGTGAGGACAAATCTCTGTTCTCTCAGTGGTGGAAGAGGTCCAGTGTTACTGCCTGCCATCAGGTGATGGCTGCCCCTTCCGGGGCGTGGCGCCGAGTGGGTCAGCGTTGGTGTCTCGCTACTAGAGTAGGCACTCATCAGAAGCAGTTCCCGGTGCCGTGGCAACTCCATATTGTTGATCCCATGAGTAGCCTCCCTCCCTACCCCTGGCCACCTCATTTATGGGTCCAGTCAGCAATCAGTGGGGTAGCTGGTAGCAGAGGCTGACTGACCCCTATGGAGTGTGCCACTTTGTCCTCTTGATTACTGAGAGTTTCTTTTGCAATGGATGCTTTTCAGTGAGCATTCATTTGGGACAAAAATGTCGTTACCGGCCGGGTACGGTGGCTCACGCCTGTAATCCTAGCACTCTGGGAGGCCAAGGCTGGTGGATTGTTTGAGCTCAGGAGTTTGAGACCAGCCTGAGCAAAAGTGAGACCCTGTCTTTACTAAAAATAGAAAGAAATAAGCTGGACAACTAAAAATATGTAGAAAAAAATTAGCTGGGCATGGTGGCACATGCCTGTAGTTCCAGCTACTCGGGAGGCTGAGACAGGAGG